GAGAATATGGTGATCTTCTTGTAGCACCTTTAGAAGGTTATAATGTAACATTATCATTAGATTTTAATAGACAATTACCTAAAGGTGATAGTAATGATGTATGGTTACCACTTGTTCGTAAAATTGCAATGCTTAAACGAAATTGTTTTGCGGCTGTTTTTGAAAAATATTTTGAATATCAAGCAAAACAAGAATCAACAAGTATTAGTCATAAACGAGCTGTTATACATTATCGTGATGATGAAACAATGTATGTTGATGCATCATCTGATCGTGTTATTGTTATTTTTTCAACTGTATTTAAAGATCCAGATGATAACATTATTGGTCGTGTTTTTATGGAAGTAAGAAAATTTTTTTAAATATTCTTATTATATATATATATATATTTTTTTTTTGTTTTAATGTTTAGGAATTTAAAGAACGACGAAGACAATTTCAACAAGCACCTCAAGTTATTGTTAGTTATCGTACACCACCAGAAGAATTAAAAGATATGCATGATGCTCGTATAGGTGATAATATTGGTTATTTAACTTTTGGTATGTAATTTCTCTTTTTTTAAACTTTAAAGAAATATTTTAATATTGATAAAATATTTTGTTAGTTCTTTTTCCACGTCATACAAAAGCAGCAGCACGTGATAATACAATTAATCTTATTCATACACTTCGCAATTATTTTCATTATCATATTAAATGTTGTAAAGTACGTTTAGATCATTTCTCTCATAAGATATTATTTCAATAGACAAATGTTTTCTTTTTCAGGCATATTTACATGCACATATGCGTCATAAAACAAATGAATTTTTAAAACGTCTTCAATTAGCTCGACCTGAAGTTAAGAAAAATTTTCGACGTGGTCCTAATGCAACTGGTATATAATAAAAACAAAAAAAAACTTTTTTTTTCATTCAATTAAATTTTTTCTTTTCTAGGTGATGCACCAGCGGGTATGGAGTGAACGTTAGTGACCAAAAGAAATTTGTGATTTTGGTTGTTTTTTTTCTAACCGGCTGATTTATCATGTTTCTTTTTTCTTGTATCTATACGCATTAATTTATCGCTTCTTTTGTTCGCTTGTACCTGAGCGTAGAGCATTTTATTTGGTTTCAAACATTTTATATTATTCTATTTAATATCAACGACAAGTATGCTTGTTTCTTTTTTCTTTTGTTTTTTTACATTTTCATTGATTATGATGATGGACAAATATCAAAGAGAGATGAACGCAATGCATCGTTGTATAAGATATTTTTATTGATAATGAATACATATATGTTTCATGCTTGTATAAAGAAATTTACACTCTCGAAGATATTTTAGTTTTACATTTATTATGCGGACTAGATAAACAAATATATTTCGTCGGAGATCAATCATTGAAAGAGCTAAGAACTGATCGTCTTTGTGTGTATACCGGTTCTCGATAAATTCTAGAACAATAGTACCATCGACACTGAGATTGTATGAATAAAAAGACAATTATATTCAAAAGAATATCTATTGTCATGGAGAATTTCAGCAATCAAAAAACGATTGTAATTTTGAATGATTTTTTTCGTAATGTATCATAAGGGTAAGAATATCAGTTGACAAATCTCATTGAAGTACATCATTCTAGAAGAGAAAATAATCCAATGCTATTTAACAAAAACAAGTCATAAAAGTTAGCAATTCATATTTCCAGCTATTGTGTCAAAAGTTGATTCACATTAGGCGAGTTTATTAAAAATGTATCAAGATTTTTTTATCAAGAAAAAAGCATTCAGGCTATATTTATCTATATATTTACAGAGTTATGACACATATTTTTGAATAGATACTAGATATCATTCGATACTATCGCAAAACTCGAAATTTTTACTTGATTATCATTGTTGTATTGAAAAAAAAAACAAAATGATTTCTACTTTATTTATATTTTCAATGTAGATTCTATCGATTGTACTAAATAATTCGAGATTATATATAATTTTCTTTAACATCTTCATAGCAATACAGATTTTTCAAATATTTGATTTATTTTCAATTTGGTTTCTGTGTCTTGATTAATCTTTATTTGCGCTTCAAAAGCTCAAATATTTGGTGTAGCAAGAGCACTTGTGATGTGAAAGATTTTTTGAGTGCACTCTGTGTAATTCTAATTATGTTTCATAAAATCAAATCTCTCGAAACATTCATACAAAACAAAAACCAAGAATTACATTACAAACAACTGTTTTCTTATATTGCATTTGTGACAAAAGTTGAGTCATACGAGCTGTCATAAAGAATAGTTTTGACAGTGATTTGAAACCATCATTATTTTTCGAAAACAATGAAAGCTCTCCGACTAAGGCCATATACATCTCTAACAAATTTGTTCCCATACATTTGTCTTTCACTAATTGTAGTTAATATTCAATTATTGGCTTAATCATTCTATCAATATATAATAAGTGCACATGCGAGCATGAGTGTGAGTGTATAGAAGACCTGCTACCTCATCCAATACCATACCCTTCAATAATTGCATTTCATCTTAAAGAATATGTAGATAGTAATCTTTATGATATGAAACTTGCTATCAAGTGTAGAGAATGCGTGAAAATCAAACATTCTATTAAATAATCATCTTTTGTTTCTCATGTTATATTCTTGTGTGCTATAGCTCATATTTCTTTCAACAAAGAAAATGTCAGATGATCATTGAATCAATAAAATATCTCTTGAAAAATTAGTTAAGGACACAAGTGACAAGACGAATTCGGAAAGTTTCTCATGAGACGAGTTTTTACCAATTAAGAATGGTCCCAGGCAAGGGTAACCTCAAATGATTTATCAACTTCGTCAATGTTTGCTCTGTCTATCTTATTTAATATCATATTATCTTCATCGGCACTTGTCACATGAATTCAAGGTGATTTCGAATCATTCAACAAGCCTTTTGTTCTTTTTTTTTTCTTTGACGAGTTCATCAATATTACATGATTATCGTGTCAAATGAATAAGATTAGTTAGTTTTATTTCTGATTTGCAAATCTTTCTTGTAGAGATATAGAAAAATAGTTTTTATTTTCTTAATATATTATTAATTGGTGTGTATTTTCAGTCATGTAGTTATACAGAAAAACGAAAATTACTCAAGGCTTGAATGTTTAAAAAGGAAAGACACATGTAAAAAGATCTCTATAGACTTTGACCAACATTATGGTACAGTTATGACGAACATCAGATTGTTTGTCTTGTTGTCCATCCGAGAATGATAAGCATTTTTGAATTATATACTAGAAGTAATGGCTCGGCCTTATTATTTCTTGTGCATTTGTATTAAACTATCGCTACTTAAGACTAATGGTCATGGAAGAAAAATGTATTAGATCCAAGGATAGCTCAACGGGAGAGTGTTGAAGGTGTGATACCTCCCAATAATTGGAAGTTTTTATTATTCTGATTAGTCAAAAGACCAGAAAACAAATAAGCACTGAGAAGTTGCTGACTTTTTTTTTTCAAAAATATAGAAATAAATTATGTTTTTCTCCAACATCCTGTAAAGTTAAACTAGAAATTTTTTTCTCTATATGAAAATTAACAACTATACGAACATAGTTGATCTAAGAATTCTTTGATGTTTAATTTGAATGATATGTTACGAAAATTTTTACATCTGCAGAACTTCGTTTGTTTTAAGAAGTGTCGCAATTAGTATTTAATGACAGTTTAGTTTTTCGAATGAAACGATACGAGATAGTAAAATTTTTAATCACTCCGCATAAAAATTTTGTATCAACAAGCACTGCCAGTTACGTAGCTAGTTTTCAAAGATTTAAATCTTAATTGAAGGAAATTTTGATTCATTGTGGTTTTTGGGAAATATGATTTGGATCAATATTCGCTAATGCAAATGTTTTTAACGTTAAAAGTGTTGAGATTTTTTTTTTGAAATTCAAATAAAAATATTTTTCTTCCTTCGCGAAAAAGGAGATAAAATCAAGTTTTTTTTAATCGCATAAGATGTTCACTTCTTCCATTGTACATGTCGATGTACATGTCTCATCTTTTTAATCTATGTTTTCTTCATATGATAATATTAATTGAACTGTATTCTATACATAGAGCAAACACTTCACCTGGGACAGAAGTTTTTTTTTTAAAGATCTTCAAAGTTTCAAGAGTCGATTCGATCCTGATAAGATTATCCTCATTGGACACTTATACAAAGTATTATTTTGAAGAGTATTAGATACAGTTGTGAAATTTTCCTGGTCTATCAAATAAATCATATCTATTTACTATTATTAAATATATAGAGAAAAGTAAAAAATGTTTGTTATTATCTTTCAACGAACATATCAATATAACCTCATGCTATTCATATCATGATCATGACTTAACATACATGATTTTGTAACTAAATTTGTTAGATATGCTGAAAATTTCACTACTATTATTGTATAATTGGTGACATCTTTGAGAAAGCAAAGGAATATTAGAAAAAATAATGCACTATATTATAAATTTGCCTAATCCTCATAACGAATTACAAATAATATCATGGAAAAACGAATGATAAATGTTAAAATAGTATAAGAATTATTTGATCACTCTTATTTGTCTTAGAGATCAGACACAATATTGTAGTATTGACCCTTGGGAGAAGAGTACACATAGTATTGAAGAAAAAATTTTAATAAACAACACGACAAGTGATCATGTTATAGTGTTTTACTAATGAATGGTAGTGTCCTCTTTCGATTTACTCCAGTATTTGTCATATAATGTCACAGATGCCCTTATTTTAGCATAGCGCTACTATCTGTATTATTAACAAAAATGTCTGTTACTTTAATTGCATTTTCTGAACTTCTATGAATCATAATTTATATGACTGGTTGTCTTTTCTTTTTTTTTTATCTTTTCTTCGTTTTTTATATTATAAAACGAGAGAACTACACCTGCTTCTGATTTATTTTCCCTGTTCGTTTTAGATTCATTGACGCATTGTGTGCACGAATAATGTCGAATGATATAATAATAAGTTCACCTACTACTATCACAGCAGTGAATGAAAATAGTACAAAAGCAGGTTTAGCTATAAAAAATCGACTTGACCAAGGCAAAGTAATACTACATGACGCTTTTGCAAACATGGATCGAGGCACATTATTACGTGCTGTTATTGTACTTGCTGGTATTACATGTCTCATTTTAATGTACATTGGAATAAAAACATTTTTGTAAGTGAAGAAAAAAAGCAAGCAAATTGTTGTTTGTTTTTTTTTGCACAAGAAATTGCCTGTATTTGGAATCTATACATTTGTATATTATTATTATTATTTTAGTTTACGTAAAAAACGTCAACCAAAACGATATACATTGATTACTGATCCAGGTACGATGGCGGAACCTCTCTTCGGTGCTCATGATGATGAAGATGAAATTGAAGATGATACATTATTTGTACGAAAATAATTAAACAAAACAGTATAATTTGTTTTTTCTTTCGTTTATTCTTTGTGTTTTTTTTTATCTCATAGTCATTCCGTTGATATTGTTTTAACTTACCGTGAATATTATTATTATTGTTATTCATGTTTTTGTTTTATTAACGGACAGTTTCTCATTAATTTAAATAGACATAAAATCCGGTTATTGGTATATTGTTACTTATAATATTACTTTTTCAATCTTCATTTTAGATAATTAACTATTCATGTAAATTTATATATATATTGATATGAAAAATTGTTTCGTATGGAAATCATTGTTAAAAGCTTTGAAGTCTCAGACAGGTATAGCTTTGATCACAATCTATGCGAACAATAATACTATAAATAACTATTTGTAAGAATCATACATTTTTTGTTGTTTTCATTGGTATGTCACAGGTGGTCTTACATTGTGTAATAAAAAGAACGGCTCATTTGTTAATTTGAATAGACGTATCATGTTTGAGGCCGATTCAGTAGTATATTTTATAGCATAATAATCATCAAGGAATGAGAAAAAGCTCAATAATATTATTAAATGAAAATACATGTTTTGGTGTGTTGAATTCAAGCAAAACAATGTGTTGTGAAATATGATAATGTGCATTTATGTTGTCATAGAAGTAACGGTTTATTTTATTCTTTTAATAATTTTTACTTGTATAATTTGTATGTGTGTATATATCTGAAAAGTAGCATGATGATTTTTCTTTTGAGTATATAATTGTATCTAATTGCTCATGTCAAAAAAAAGTAATTAAAATAACTAATTAATATTGAATCATTAAGATATTATAATAACAATAATTTAACAATACTGTAATAGAAAATTCTCATCTATTCTTTTTCACTTTATGTTTATCTTCATAGCTTCTTCTTTACTTTTATTCGTTTATAATTATTGCATGTTTGTACGTCACGGTTCATTTCTTTCTTATAGCATCGGTTGTATTTCTATATAAACATACGCTAAAGCGATGAAATACTTAATGTATTATATGAGAACATATTCTCAAATCACAGCCATTACTCGTAAGCATGTGTTCTACACAACTAGACTTCTTTTGAAAAATTATACGATAATTTTCTCATTATCAATCTTTATTTTGTTTAGATAGCTTTTTTCTTTTGAATAATGACTTCACATGCTAATGCAGATCTTGATGATATTGTTATTTTGTCTGCCGTACGTACACCTATCGGTTCGTTTAATGGATGTTTATCAGCTCTGAAAGCTCATCAGCTTGGTGCTGCAGCAATAAAAGGTGCATTGATTAAAGTAAGTGGTGCTATTACAGCAGATGAAGTGAGCGAAGTATTTATGGGTCAAGTATTGACCGCTAATGAAGGTCAAAATCCGGCACGACAAGCTGCACGTGGTGGTGGTCTACCTTATCATATACCAGCAACTACAATTAATATGGTTTGTGGTTCAGGCTTGAAAGCAGTCATTTTAGGTGCTCAAGCTATTCGAACAGGTGATGCTACAATTGTAGTTGCAGGTGGACAAGAAAGTATGAGTCAAGCACCACATTGTATTTCAATGAGAAGTGGTAAAAAGATGGGTGATGCTGTTCTTGTTGATTCAATGTTACATGATGGGTAAATAAATAAAACTATTTATTGAGATATTTATTATTGATTTCTTTTTTTTTAGTCTGATAGATGCATTTAATCATATTCATATGGGTATCACAGGTGAGTTCAATGAATAATAGATAATTTTATTTTACTTTATTGTTAATAATATAGCGGAAAATGTTGCTGAAGCATGTAGTATTACACGACAAGAACAAGATGAATTTGCATTACAATCTCAATTGAAATGTGCACATGCTAAAACACGTGGACATTTTGATGATGAAATTGAACCGATTATTATTTCGACAGCTAAAAGTATGTTGATTATTATTATGTCAATGAAAAATGTCTTTCAATATATATAGTATGTCATTGTTTTAATTTCTTGTTTATTTTAAAGATGATATTCAAATAAAAAGTGATGAATATCCACGTCAAGGAGTAACAATAGATTCTATGTCGAGATTAAAGACAGTATTCAAGGATGGTATGTATCTTGTTTCAGAGATAATTCAATATTTACTCTATTTTTCTTTTTTCAGGTGGAACAGTTACTGCAGGCAATGCATCAGGTCTGATTTTTTTTCTCTATATATATTTTTTTGTTATTCAATTTTTTAAATCATTTTTTCAATATTGTATAGGTCTTAATGATGGAGCAGCTGCATTAATTCTTTGTTCAAATCGTACTGCTAAAATAAAACAACAAATACCTCTAGCAAAAATTGTTTCATGGGCACAATCAGGCATTGATCCACTTGTTATGGTATATGTTTTATTTTCATAAAAATATAATATAGTAGTTATTTCGTGTTATCTAGGGTTTGGCACCAATCAAAGCAATTCAAGAGGCTTTACGTAAAGCTAATTGGTCTATTGATACAGTAGATTTATTTGAAGTAAACGAAGCATTTGCTGCTCAATCTGTAGCAGTTATTCGAGATCTTCGCATTAATCCAGAAAAGGTTCTGCTTTTTTTGTTTGTTGTTTTTTATGTCTCCTCTATTTTAATTTTGATATCTTTTAGATTAATGTTAATGGCGGCGCAATTGCTCTTGGTCATCCTCTTGGTAGTTCTGGCGCTCGAATACTTGTTACTCTTATTCATACACTTAAACGAACAGGTTTAAAACGAGGATGTGCCGCTCTATGCATAGGTGGTGGCATGGGTATTGCTATATGTATTGAAGCTTATTGAAATTTTTTTATGACTTGATTAAAATGTATTCATTGATTTTGTTGTGTGCAACTTTATCTAGTCGTCCATATATTAAATATATTGTCTGTCAATATTCGTTGATTTTTCTTTGTTTGCAGTAGTGAATGAGCTTTGTATTTGTCTCAATATAGAAAAGAAAAATAAACTAGCCGACATTGTGTACGTTCTCGCCATGAAAAAAACAACTGTAATGTAATCGAATTTCATCGCATAATTTTCTGATACTGTAATATTAGACAATCGATTTCTTTATGAAAAATATTTCACTATAATTTAAAATTTTAATAAATGTAGCTGAATCATTTTTTATGTCATTAATATAAAGATATTAACGGATTTGGTGAGGATTTTTTTTGCTACAGTTATTATGTGAAAGATTTAGCTTAATCTTTCTTCTATATGATGTTGATGTTCTTGACAATGAAACTGAGAAATTACTAACATATGTGTGTGTGTTTGGATGACATGTTGTTATCATTTTCTCGTTTAATCTTTCTTTCCTCAAAGCAAAATATATTTGAACTATTTTCTATAATTATAATTGACCTTATTAGCTGATAAGAGAACAGTGCCTGAATGTATCTTATGATTATGTATAAATATTAATGGCACTTAGTGTATTACTTTCTATGACACTTGTACGAACACATTTTTTCTTCTTCTATATATATAGTCATTCCATACATAACATATTAATTACTGCTTAAGGGAGTTTTTCATCTGTAAATATTTTTTTTCAACAATCGACTCTTCTTTTTTTTTGTATATATAAATAAACAATTGAAATAGTTAGTACTTATATCATATTTGATTAAGAATAATTACTAGAGAAGAAATGAATGTTAGTTAACTTAAGAGAAATTGTCTTGAAGATGTTCTGCAGAAGAAATAATGGCACTAAGTATTTATTTAAAAAAAAAAAGGTCAAGATGCACAAATATAAATGAAATTACAAATTCAATCATGAATATTAAGATTGTGCTAACAGTATTTTTGAAAAATTCATAAGGAGAATGTTTGTTATCAAGTAATTATTGATTCATATGTTTTATGATGATTGAAATATTATATCATAAGAGATATTCATAGGAGAGCTCAATCTGATCATTGATAATGTTGATGAAGAAGTTTTTAGGCTAAATAAAAAACTGATGTTAGCCGTTTATTTCCTATTAGTCATTTTTAACTCATTCATACAAACTATCTATTAAGAATAATAAAGCATCGAATCGAGAAGATTTCTAGAGTATTGTCTAGAGAATTCAATAAACTACGAGTTTGCAAAAAAGAAAATTTAAACTTCTTTTCATCATTTCTTGGCTAAAATTTATGAGTTAGAGAAAAGATGGTTTTTTTTGTCTTTTATTTTATTTAGTTATACAGACTGATTATTCCAATGTTTGCCAAGTTGATATATACAACTATGGACATAATCGATTTGTAGAATAGTTTGTAAAAATTTCTTATTTACAAATATGAAAGTAACATTTTTTCTTACAATTTGTTTTATTATTGATACATGCTTCGTGAGCAATAACATGAGAAATAGTTTTTCTGGAGTTATTCTATTTTCGATATAAATTTATAAGTAACATGATATTCATGTTAAAAACTTTGTAGGAAGTAATAGATAGTCAAAAAGCATTTTACAGTCGTTTTTAAATAGTTTCCTATCGATAAAAGATAGAAATCTACAGTTTTTGCTATGAATTATCTTTTGAACGAGATCTCTAGAATAAGAATAAGTGATTTCGAATCGAAATCAAAATGAATAATTCAATATTATAAAAAGAAAATAAAGACTAACAATGCCAATACAACCCACACACAGAAAGAACTGACTTCAATTCGACAATAGCCGTCTTTGCAATTGTTTAATCATAAATCATGCTCCGAAATCGTAATGAGTAAATTTTCGACTTTGTACAGATAAAATAGCAACATAACTGTGATAAAACACAACAAAATCAAATTAACAATAAATTCAATTCCCACGTCATTCAAGAGATATGGTTCATTTAAGGTCCATTTTGCATTTTCACAAGGAAGTGACTTCGCCCTAATTTAATCATAGCAATATAGCAATCAGCATCTGCATGATCTATTCTCGTAGTTTACTCAACACTAACTCTACTAGATTAATGTCAGAGGATAAAAAGTTATTTATAAAGAATGTCTCAAAATTGTTCAATATAGTTATATTCAAGATATTCATTCCTTATATTGATAGTTTCTACTTTCTATAATTTGATATTACGAACTTAAAAAGCACGATTTAAATTGGGGAAAATATTCTTATCAATTCGATCTTGAATAATCACAGTATACGAAACAATAAAACTTATGTCTAGAAAACCATCCATATATAATTACAGTTTTCTCTCATTCGAATATCTCACGTTTGTAAATTTCCTTAATCCTTCGTTGCTGTCTTGTGATCTAAGTAGACTCACTTTACGGTTCTTGTTTAGTACTACATTAACATTTATTCTTTCTGTTTATTTCTCTTCGATAATTTCTAGTCTTTAGTAGGTGCATAATATTCTTACTAGAAATCATGAATAGATCTAAAACAGAAAAAAATACAGTTGTGGATTTACATAGGCTCAAGAGCACTAACGATATTATAAACATCGTTTTTTCGTCTAGCTAAAGCTGCTATCTGTTGTTTCCCAATAGTTTTCCTAAATAGATTCGTTTATTTGTACGTTCATCAGTAATAGTAATGATCTACATTTTCTTTATATAGTCTGAAATTTGTGATTGTTTTTCTTTGATCAACAACAAATTAGATAGTTGCTATGGGAAACAGAAAAAGATAATTAAAAAGAAAAATTTCTCCACCTATTATCTAATAGACGATTGTATATATAAACATATCAGCATATTTCTACCGTTCCTAGACTGAAATGACTAGATCTAAGAATCTTTTTTCAAATAACTTCGTCAATGATGTTATAAAAACAGTTCTAGACAATATATTTTTGTATCTTTTTTATATTGTATCTATGAAAACTGACGCATAAATCTTTATAAAAAAAGAGTATTTAGAGACTTATAGTACATAAATGGATAGCTTAAATAAGACAAAAGTATCAAGCTTTTGTAATTTTCTATGGATGGATCCAGGCGAACTCCAGGACAGCAATGAACTGCCGAAGTGAAGACATCAACAAAGAGTTAACTGTGTTTAAAGCAGAGATAGATGAGACTGTCTCGCACACTAGCGCACGCCTATGTTATATGGTGCGAAACTTCATACAGCTTATATTATGCCATCTCATGATTGTATTTGTGTTGAAAGAATATGTAAGAAACGATTTCGTGTTTTCGAAACATATTCACCAAGAATGAAAACAAAGAGGTGTACGAAGCGTGTAAGTGTGAGCAAGAGCGTGGGATGACACCGTCTATCTCTGGTACAAAGTTATCATATCTATTCATATGAATGAATTCGATCAATAACCATCGATAATATAAATTTTTTTTTTTCATAGACAAATAAATTTGGTTTTTTTATCCTTTCGTTGCATGTTTATTTTATAAGTTTATTTTTTTCCCACAGGCCAACATTTAAACAACGAAAAGAGAGAAAAAGAAAAGAAAAGAAAAGAAAGAAAAGGAACAACAGTTAGATCTTGATCGAAGATAATAATAATAATAATAGTAATAGTAATTGATGATACATGTGATCGATCGAAGACAAAGAAACAAAAAACAAAAAAAAAAAGAAAAGAAATTAAAAAGAAAGAAAGTAAACGAGAAACTATACAATTAGACCAACCAAATTTTATGCATGTCCGATTGACCAAATGCTGTGTTACATTTTGGACATTTTCGTTGACGTGAATCATATCTTGATTTAAGACAATCATAACAAAAAACATGAAAACATTTGGAAAGTATTGCATCACGTTGTTTATTTTTACACGCTGGACAACGAAGAATTTCTTTATATTCACGTATTTCTTCTAATAAAACTTCATCTTTATTTGATGCCATTTCTAATTTACGCATTCGTTCTAATTTTCGATTTAAATTTTTTAATTCTTCTTGTAATCTAAAATGAAAAAAAAAACAAAATTTTAAAAATAATTAATTTTTTTTATCTTTTTGTTTGTTTGTAGTCTTTATAATATACCGTCGATTTTTAAAATTTTGTTTTTCAAGTGCTTCAGATTTTTCAGCAACTAATTCTTGAACTTCTTTTAATTGTGCATGATAACGATCAAGATGAAGTTTTAAATCAGCTGATGTTTGTGCACTTTCAATTGTTTTTCGTTTATGTGCATCTAATGTTTGATGCATCATACTTAATTCTTTTTCAAGTATAAGTACAGTATTACGAAGTAATGCTATTGTTTCTTCATATTTTTGATTCATTATTACCTACAAAAAAAAACAAAAACAAATATATTAACTAAGAAATTATTTTATTTTATTTAATGACTTGTGCATCAAGTTGTTCTTGTAAAACATTTGTTTGTTGTGCTAAAACTGTTTTTTCATCAGACATAATTTTTTGTGCTTGTTGTAATTTAACACGTTCAACCATAAGTTTAATATGAGCATCATCTTTTTCACGTAATTGAGATAATAAACGACTATTTTGTTCTTGCATATCTTCAAATGCTTGGCCTGTTACTTCTATTTCATTAAGTAATGCTGCTTCTTCTTGTTTACGTGTTTCTAAATTTTTTTCAAGATCACGAATTGTTTCTTGAAATGATCGCATTTTATTTTGAACCTCAAAAAATATAATAAGATTCAATAGGAAATTATAAAGTTCAGAATATCAAAATTAGTATAGAATCATTTCGAAACTTTTTTATTCTGAAAATCTAATAACTATTTGTAAGTTGAATAATGAGACATGTGTGTATTCAAAATTTAACAATTGATATTGTATCATCGTGCACGAGATAAATGAAATATCGATAAATAATTTCTAGTATCTGGAAAATTTCAACAGTCTTAGC